ACACACTGATGACACTACAAATCTCTTCGGTACCTTGTATTTATAAGGTCTAGTTAATAAGTTCTGATCATTTTCTCCACCTTGCCATATTTTATATTAATATTTATTTTGGCCTCTAAGCAATTTAGGATCCTCAATAATGTATCTACACTAAGAACCTCTATCCTTTTTTCTGTCTTTCTTTGAATAAAGCCCTTATTCAGTGGATTACAGCATGACACATTTGTACCCTCTTTTTAAAGCACCGTAAGTACATGTACCCAGTAAAAGGAGGGGTACGGTGCCCCCATGGGCCTGTGAAGTTGCATGGCAAGCCAAACTGTGCAACCACATGAATACTGGTGCTGGCGCAGGAGAGAACTCACAGACAGAGCAACTATAATAACACAATGAGGAATTAGCCAGGCCGCCAGAGTTGGTATGCATACACCAACACGAAACTACGATGATTGATTTTCTTGGACCTCAAGGGGGCTAGCTGGCTTGCCCTGTGCGTTAGCCATGGCTACCCTGCTTCCATCCATAGGGCGGTTCTCCATGCGGCACGATGTAGCCTACAGTCTCGCTGCCCGTGATTTATGATCTTCCACTCAGTTACCGGTGAAGCTCCTTCTACTGGCCTTGGCTGTTAGAGGAGCTGTATTTCCAGCTTTTACTTTAAAACATTTCTTCCTTATTCAGCACTTGTCACAGGGGCAGGCAGCGTGAAATCTGACCTTTGACCAGATTTTACAAATGTACAAACCATGCTTTTGAAAACCCCTCTTTAGAAGCAAACATCAGAAAGCCTGAGACGAAGGGGAAAGCAAGAACAAAGCACCTGCAGTGAGTACGCATGAAGTAAAAGATTAGCTTTTAAAAAAAAAAAAAAAAGTTGGCTCCATTTTCCCTCGGAGAGGACATTTTCTGCCTCCCTTTACACAAAGCTGACACATCTTTCAAGCAGGGCTGAACTTGCCTTTGCTCACCGCGGAGCCCCGGCTGCTGGTGGGTCTTGGGGCCGGGCCCGGTACTCTTCCGGGTGGGCTCCAGCCCGTTTCCTGCAAAGAGTTACTGGGATGCTGCGCTGAAACACTGACCTTTGCCCTGCAGAGCTGCGCCTTCCTGGGACAGCGTCCTGCCTCTGCTCTTGCTCCCATCCTCCTCCGCTACGCTCTGGCCTCTGCCCATCCGGCAGCTCGGACATGGCAAAAACAGCGTCTGAGCAGGGGTAGGGTGTGCGGGAGGGGGCAAAGGGGGGGTTACAGTAATTAATAATCTGTGTTTTCTTTCCCCCTTTGGAGTTGCAAACCAAACCCCAGGTTTTGGAGGGTTAGGTGGTGAATAATGGGTTATTCTGCTCTTTTATTATTCTTACTAGAGTTATTGCGGATTTAGAAGGGCGTGCACAAAGCATGATTTGCCTCCGGATTGCTTCCATGGGATCTTCAGTTTCTGTAGCAGCCGTGCTCCTAGCTGCCGCTCTTTTTTCCTCATTTCTCTGCCCTGTTGCTGTCTCCAATTTTCTACCCTTGTGCGTTGCTCTTGTCCCAGCTGTAAGGAAAACTGTGTGTTCCCAGCTGAGTAGTTGGAAGCCAGAAGGACAATTAGATCATTTAGACCAGGAAATACTAATCATGATGTGACAATGCATGAGCTAATTTAAAGCCTAGGGCCAGATCATCCCTTTCCGCTGGGGCTCTGAAGGCAGGGTGCTGCTGTGCTGGAACTGGGTAGCCATAATAAACTAAAAAAATTTGGGTTTCTTGCCACAAGAGTTTTGGTTACTGACAACGCACAAGGCTAAGCGGTAATACAGTGCTGTAATCATGGGAACAGATAACAGCTATTGATGTTATCCGGGTCGGTAAGAACCACATCCCTACAGTGAGCTCTGTTGCAGTTGATGCCCTGAGAGTGCAGAATGGACAGGAAAAAAGACAGACCACTGAGCATCTCCTGATTTTTGGCTTCTACCTTTCTTGCAAGGATGTCCCTTGTTTTATGGCTGATGAACAGCACCTGTTTCTGGCTCACCAGCTGCAAGTACTGAGTAGGTGACTGTGTTCACATCAGCTGGGAGCTTTGTCTTCCTTGTTTCAATCATTGCATAGTTGTTGTCTCTCCTTTCCTGAATATCCGGATGCCTGGAAGCTGTGGGAGAGAGGGAAGAAAGGGACAACAAGGTGGAACAGTATGTTGCATGTGTTTCTTCCAGAGCCATAATACAATACAATACATAATACAATGTTAGCGTTCTAATATACTGTTGAATGTGATTAACCTGTTGTGTAATATATTTTTATAGAAGGTAGAAAGCCAGTATTTATTTTTGGCTAACAGCTAAGCAGCAACATACCTCCACATGTTACTTGAAAATGTTTGTTCTAATAATTATAAATCATTTTTGTTGTATTTAAATAAGTGGTAAAGGGTTTGGGGTTTTGTTTTTGCATCAGTGCACAAATAAATTCTTTCACTATCAGGTTAGACAAAGAAAAAAAGAAAGGAAATTCTTTTGCTGTTTCTAATTACTGGCTTTTAGCTTAACTGACAAGAGCTTATTCCAATTTTTTCTGTTGGAGCTGTATCTCTCAGCATTTTTAAGAATGAGAAGTTCCTTTCAATTTTGGTAGATTCCCAGAGTGAGTGGTGGTGTTGCTGCTCTTCTGGGGATGAGGGTGAAACATGAGATATGCCTGGCTTCTATGAATATTTTGGCTATGGGCAGATATTTTGAAGTGAAAGTTTGTCTTTTTTTTTCTTTGTAAAATATCAAGAAGGACTGACTCTAATCTGGGAATATATTCAGCAAGTGAAATATTCAGAGGAGGGGGGAACAGCCTGGAGCTAAGCTGCAGTGGGGGAAGAAGGGGCTAATTTTCTAGCAGTTTCAGGCTTGCTGCTTGCTTTCTGTAAAGCAAAGTCAAAAAAGCCCCAGGGTCTGCACAAGGCAGCTGGCTAGAAAAAGCTATGTAACACTATTTGGAGTTGTTACACATCCATTTGAGTTAGGTCCACCTAATTCGGCCACTTAATAAACCAAGCAAAAGCTTCTTTTGCTAAATCTCTTCGAGTGACTGCAGGCGTTGTGGCATTCCTGGCAGGTTAAATGAATTGTATTGTAAATCAATTAAGCCTTCATTAATGGCTGACAAATTTGGAGGACGTGGTAGGGCAGTCATGCGTAGTATTAGCTCCAGAAGAGACTAAGTTTTGGATAAGTCTTACAGACAATCAGAATTGTTTAACTGAGGGGAATATGCCCACATAAAGTAGTGCTGGCCAGTTCCGCTGTTCGTGGCTCTGCAGGATTTGGCCTCAATTTGCAGAATGATTTAGACTGAATTATTATAGAGTCCTATGACTCTTTATGTGGGGGTACTAGGCTGAATAACTGATGCTGTCTACTGGTTGTAAATGAAGTAATAATATTTTTAGTTAATAATGACACTTGAGAACTTAAAATGAAGTAGTAATAGCAGTGATAAATTGCAAGACTGTACTTGCTATCGGCTTGAAAATAATCAGCTCTATTAAACTTTGGGTAATCCACAGTTGCTTCCAGTGATTCTTTGTCTAGGGAGACTTCTGTTGAGAATAAGTTCGTAACACCACATATACTCAGAGTCCCCTTTTTATGTGCAAAGAATAATCAGTCTATAGAATCAGTATTTTAATATTACTTTGGAATTACATGAACCAGAATTTGTATAGTGGGGAGGCTTATTAGTGTGAGAACTAGGAGCAACTGGGAAGTTAAAAAGGAATGTTTTGATAAGAAGGAGCTTCAAGTGGAGGGCCATTTTCTTCAGGTTATTTGAACTCTTTAGGTAAGAGTCTTAAAATTAGCTTTAATTGAGCTCCTTTAGGTACCTTAGAAAAAAGTGTCTCATGTAGTGGCTGCTGCAGAAGTTACTATGGAGTTTATATCAGATTGTTGCTCTGATTGTGTCTACTGTGAACTGTTAAAATTCAGCTGACTGCCTGTTATGGGGAATCCCATAACTTATGTTTCTTTACAGCACTTTTCTTTCTTCCACTTAAGGTATGCAATCACGATCATATTGCACTCTGCTTGGAAACGTGATTGAATAATAAAATTTCTTGCTTGCAGAAAATGCATGCTCTATTTGTCTGACTTCACCTTCCAAATGCTGTCTCTGTCTCAGCAAAATTGATGAGCTTTTCAAGATCTGTGTTTTCTCCCCATTAATTTATGCACTAATTAATCTTGTCTTGTTCTTGATTGATCTCTTGTTCTCAAAATAAAACATCTTTTCCCACTCTTGAATCATTTATATGTGGTTTTCTGCCTCCATTTCAGTTCTTAAACTTCACTTTGAAAATAGTCTACTTTTGGTCAGTACATAGTTTGATCCCATCAGTACTTGTGTCTTTGAGGTAAAATCATCTTGCTAGTCCTCTTTTGTGAAGAGATACAAGGATTGATTGGGCGATTCTGCCCCTCTACTCAGCTCTTGTGAGACCCCACCTGGAGTATTGCGTCCAGCTCTGGGGGCCCCAGTGCAAGAAAGACATGGAGCTGTTGGAGCGAGTCCAGAGGAGGGCCACGAAGCTGATCAGAGGGCTGGAGCACCTCTCCTGTGAGGACAGGCTGAGAGAGTTGGGGTTGTTCAGCCTGGAGAAGAGAAGGCTCTGGGGAGATCTAATTGCAGCCTGCCAGTACTGGGAGGGACTGTTTATCAGGGAGCATAGCGATAGGACGAGGGGTAATGGCCTTAAGCTGAAGGAGGGTAGATTTAGATCAGATATTAGGAAGAAATTCTTCATTGTGAGGGTGATGAGGCACTGGAACAGGTTGCCCAGAGACGCTGTGGATGCCCCATCCCTGGAATTATTTAACGCCAGGTTGGATGGGGCTTTGGGCAACCTGGTCTAGTGGAGGGTGTCCATGAGGTCTCTTGGACCATTCTATGGTTTTATGATTCTCTTTTCCTCCAACATCACACAGGTTACTGCTCAATTTGTTGCTTACTGTAAGCTTAACTCATTTTCAGGATTGCTGCGTACCAGGAGAAGATTGCACCGCTACCTTGCACAGCCATTGCTGCCATTCTATTCAGGTGAACAGATTTCTGGCTCCTCCCTGCATGTATTTGTTTCTACTTGACAGAATTAAAATTGCATCATTGGATTTGACGCACCTTTTTTTTTTTCCCAAGCAACCCTGTGCTCAAATGAATCACTTCTCCTGATGCTTTGTTTACTTTAAGTCTTTGTGGTTCCCTTTCTTACCCCCGTGTAGGAAATTCAACTCCATTAAAAATTATGTTTTCATGGTTCTTGCCCCTCTTTTTTTTTTTTTTAAATTTCTTCCTGATGATTGTGAGTCACACACTGTCCTAAAGTTGTACAAGCCCTTAGAGAAGTAATCTAAGGTGCCAGGTTCTTACACAGATATAACTTTCCTGTGAAATCTTGTAGGAGGAGCAGATTTTTTCAACAGAAAGATGCTATAATCTCATAATGCTGTAATTCTCTCGGTATGCACTAAGCACAGCAATATCACCTTAGAAAATAATTCTAAGGCAAGTACAGGCACCAAATTTTATAGTTCAGTTGTTTTTTTTTTTAATATTTGATATCCTGTGCCAATGGTTTCTAACCTGTCCTCAGAAGATCATTGTCAACAAAGCTGTGGGAGCTCAACTATGGTGTAAATGCATATTAAGTCTTGTAAATAAAAGTTACATAAATAGTGGCCTGTATTTTCCTAATGTTTTGCACATATCTGATTCATTAAGCAGATGTTGTAAAATCACTTAGTAAAACTAGCTGCCAAATGATTTTTAGGGCCATCTTAACTACTTATTATTTCATGTCCTCATGTTTTTAAACAATGAGATCGTCTTCCAAGTGGAAGTCTCTGGCTATGCCTTTAACATTATCATTTCCAGAAAGAACTTCCTAGGTAATTCTGAAAAGATTTACATATATATATTATGTATGCATCTATATGCATGTTTTATGTTCTTCTTTCTTTCAACCCTTCAACCTTAAAGGTCATTTCCAGCCTAAATGATTCTATGATTCTATTGCTTTCGAGATTTATCAATGTTTAGTAACTAAACATTCTTGCACTCTTCCTCCATGTACTGCTCAAAGATGATCACTTTGAGCTCTAAGCATGGTTATTTTGTCATGTACAGTAATGCTACATAACAACTGAGGATACGGACTTGAAATTATAAGCAGTAGGTTACCTGAGGTGGAATTTGACCTTGACCCTATCTTAATCCACAAGCAGGATTACCACGGGGATCAGCAAATATCCAGCACTTAACACCATAAGAAAACAAAGTGCTAGGATGGGGCTGCAGACATCAGTAAAAGCAGATTTCACAATCTGTAGGGCTTTTTTGTTTTGTTTTGCCCTTTTCCTTTTTTTTAATGTAACAGACAGATGGAGAGCAGTACTCTTGTCCCCAGCTGGGAAAGAAGAATGCCCGAGTGACTGAAACAGGCTGTCAGGAATTGCTTATTTCCAGGGTCCTTTAGAGACCTTCCCCCTATAGCTCTAACTGAATGTATTAGCACTCGGAAAGGATTCGTTATACCAGTATAATGCCCTGTAATAGGAGATACAGCAATGGCAAATAGAAAGTTCTGCTTTCATTTTAATGAGTAATCCAAGTATAGCAATGGGAATTGCCCACACTGCTTCTGAAGTAAGGTTTCACCACAACTCTGTAAATCACTGTTGTAACTTAATAGTAGAATGCACAAAGAAACCCAGCTGGAACTTTGCTCTTGGATGATTAAATCCCCATAGCCAGTGGTTACTTATTTACAACTGGGAGTTCATGGTCATGTTTACAGAAGGTCCTGTGTGTTGTGTTTGCCTGTTAGAGGTGATGATTACTTGTTCAGTCAAAACCATGCTTTTGTATACAAAATCTTCACACCAAAACTGTAAATCCTGGAATGATTTGCAGGAGCTTTCTCAGTCTGTGCTAGAGAGTTGCTGCTGCCCTGTGTCCAGCAAAATTGGTACATACTGCAATGACAACTCTGTCCAAGGGAAAATCAATCCAGGGCTAGTTTTTAAGACTAATGATCAGCAATACTTACTTGGAAGAACATGTAGTTTCAGATGTTCTAGGCATATATATATATATAAAGTCTGGTATGTAGATATTAAAATGTAAATTGTTTTTTGCAGATATTTAATATAGTTGATGATGGTATAGGGCCTGGTTGGCATCTTAGAATGGCGGTAGAGGAGATGGCTTCAAGTTCAAGTGTTGGAAGACAGAGTTTGTTTAGATTTTTCCACTTCCCTTCCAAATATGATTCAAATGGCTTTATTCACTGGATACAAGATATTCAGAAAATGCCAGAGTGACTTTAGAACATAATCTGAATTTTCACAGAATTTATGAAACTTAGTAATTTTTCTCAGCTCCTTGAAGTTTTCAATACATTTTTGTCACCAAAGAAAGTGTGATTCACTTCACTCACCAGAGAGAAGCAACAATCTATTTTATTGATATAAGACAGTTAACAAAGTTCAATGGTAAATGCAACAGTGGTTTAAGAAAATTTGATGGCATGGTACACTGGATTATTTCCTCATAGAGGACAGGGTCAGACAAAACTGTTAGGGAGACCCTCCTGTTGAGTCATAAGGTTCAGAGAGGACCCTGCTGGCAGACAGCTCCCATCACTCTCCAACCCTTACAAGTCACGTATGTAAAAAGTTATTTTGTTGTGTTTCAGGATGTACCTCCTAATGGCACCGACTTTATGTTTATTCTGGAACATGTTTGGCTTGTGTGCAGCTATGAACTCTAAACCCAATATACTTCTGTTTCTGGCTGATGATCTTGGCATTGGAGATGTAGGTTGTTATGGGAACAATACCATAAGGTAAAAGATCTCTCAGTACAGTATATTTAACACTGTAGAACACCTATCCTGGGTAAATAAGGGTAATTATAAAATAAGAAATAAGAAAGTCTCATCCACTTGCTTGCTGTCTCCTCCAAAACACTCCAGTCCATACTCATGTGGACTGACCTACATAAGTTATTGCATGATTGTATGCCTTCAAAACTAGGGATTACCTCCTTTAAAACTAAAAAGGCAAAGCAGAAGTGAACGGGCATTGGAACCATGTTTTACAAGCCCCTACTCATGTCCTTCAAGTGGAGCACAAATATTCTGTTGGCATGCTCTGGGTGCATCTCTCTCACGTAATGTTGGTGGGGTTGTACAGAGAAATGGGAATGTGCTTATGGAACTTTGTTGTCCTCCTTTGCTGATGGTGAAGACAGGGGAGGCCTTTTTCAGCTCTTTGTGGTGGTGGTGTCCTTTCTTCTGGGAGAGCTATGTTCCCAGACAAATGTAACTATGTGAGGATATCACTATATTATGAAATAAATAGCATGTGGTAAAAACATGGAACAAAAAGTTTTGGTTCCAAGAGCTCCAGACACCCTGGGAGATTTTCTGGCTCAACAAACACTGAAATCCAGGGTCTAACTGTGCTGGCAAAATGATCTGTTGGAGGCATTGGAATAGAAAAATATCAGCATTTCTTAGATAAGTCTTTCCATTTCAGTTTTATTTTCAAACAAAACTATCAATGATTCCTAGGTTTCTTTTCACTGTTGCCAAGCGCACTCTGTGGTTGTGTCCTGAGAATGGATTCTCTAGTGGCTACAACCTACTTCATGCACTGTATCAAACTTGTTACTATATCAGTTCTGGAGTAGTAAAGATGAGGTGGTGGTTTTTTGGTGGGTTTGGTTTTGGTTTCTTTGGGTTTGTTGGGTTTTTTGGGGTTTTTTTAGGAACTGTTCAAAAGCTCTAGTTTTTCTTGGCAATTTACTAAAATAAGTTTCAGACTACCTTGCTTGTATTATCCTTGAAACTGTTTTTTAGGACCCCAAACATTGACCGCCTGGCAAGAGAAGGAGTGAAACTTACTCAGCACATTGCCACAGCTCCACTTTGCACTCCAAGCAGAGCAGCGTTTCTCACTGGCAGATACCCCATTAGATCAGGTTGGGCCCATTTTGAATTACAAATTTCTGTGCGTGGTGCTGAGGTACTGCGATAGCAGATAAGCATTGGAACAGGAGAATTCAGCTATTTCCTCAACCTGAGGTAGCAAATATACTGCTAGAGGCTCAAACTTTCTGTAACTAACTTCTGAATGGAAATCACTGCCTCACCAGCTGACAGAGCTTTAGCCTGACTTTATAGGATGTGGGAGATCTACATGATGAAAATAGATGGGTATGGAGAAATGCCAACAGCGGCAATATCTGTCACTTCCTTAGAGCAATGCAGCCTGGGGAAAAGTGACGGAATTCCTCTCGATGGTGATGGTTAGAGGTAGGGAGTTGACATAGGGCTCCCAAGAGAAATAGGCAAGTTCATTGCCAACACAATGCAGAAAGTCACAAAACTCTGGTGAAAATGGAGTGTTGGATCCATTCTCCACCTACCTAAGGCGACTTTTGGAAGACTTTACAGATATCCATCTCTCACTATATATTCCTAACTATATAGGAAAATTAGTTGCCTACTTTGAGAGCTAAGAGCAAAATCAGTGTGTAAAAGTTGGGTGAACTGTATCTCACCGAACATGATACAACATCCCTCTGAGGCAGGGAAATGTGACTGTTACCTCTCATTTTAAATGAGGAGCAGAGAGCCTAAATTATCACAGTTACTCAGAAACGCAGAAAATAAAACCTACTATATACGGTAACCATTTATTTATTCTCAGTTTGATAGTAAAACTGCTGCTAAGCAGTATTTGTTTTGAAATGTAACTCTTGACCACCTGAAGTACTTGGACACGCTGATGTGACTGCCTATGAGATACACTCGGGTTTATGTCTTGTGAGGAACTCTGCCAGCCTCAGGTTGAGCACCTGATGTGGAGGTTGGCAGGAGCAGCCCAGGCTCCGCTGGCAGAGAGCAAAAGGCCCGCGGGACTGACCGGAGATGTCTTCTGTCAGGGATGGCGTCCAGCAACAGGTACCGGGCGCTGCAGTGGAACGCCGGGTCAGGAGGGCTCCCTGTTAATGAAACAACGTTTGCCAGGCTGCTGCAGCAACAAGGCTATACCACTGGACTGATAGGTAAGGGAGAACGTTTTATCGTGACCTTGAAGAACAAGCTGGTTATATGAAGAGAATTTAGAGACTGTGTTTGCCCAGAACGTTCCATTAGTCATAGATGCGAATCCTCTTCAAAAGATTGAAGGCGGGGGAGGGAAATGCTCATATTTGCTGGACAACCAAAAATACTGCAATTTAAAGTTTTATGACAATGGTAATGCCTGTACAGGGCACCCAAAACAGGAAGAATTAGTTCCAAACAAAACAATGTCTCTCAAGTATTTCATCTGCCTTTCGGAGGCAAGAGGCAGAGAAACAAAAGAAGATAGGGAAGGAAAGAAACAAAGTTTGTACCCACAGAGGAGATGATGAAGAACAAGTGTCTCTCAGATGAGGTTGTGAGGTCTCAGAGGCATGATATGGGGGCTGTTTCCTCAGATGAAGCCAAAATGCAAAGGTGTCAGGGAAGGTGTAGGATAAGCACAGTGTCCCTTCAAGCCAGGGGGTTTGGGGCCAGCTGTGCCAAATTCATTGTCATCTCCAAGTGCTTGAAATAGATGTGGCTGCATTGAGTCACGAGCTAATGAACTGCAGTCTTCCTGGCTGAGCCTGTAATTACTTGGCAATTGCATAACCCAGCAAACCTCGGGGTCTTTCAATCCAGCACATTTTCTAAGCAGACAACGGCTTCTGTCTACTTGCTCTTGTTTTTGGCAGGGATGGAGTGAAAGGTTGGTTTACAGCCTTTTCTCCTTTTCGTATGGAGTCAGGACATGCTTCAGAAATCATCTTCCTGAGTCTGGTGATCAAGATATCTGTTAACATTGGCCAAAAGTTTACTGGATCTTCCAGTAAATTTGTAATATTATGTTAAAAACAAGTTGCAACTAAACAATTGAAAGTTAGGAAGGGAATGTATTAAAACAGCCAGAGAGTTAGAGTACCTTAATTCCCTGTTCCTCATTGAAAGGTAATGAAATCCCATCCTTGTGTAACCCTTAGCCAAGCAGCTGAGCATCTTGCAAATTTCTCTATTTATTCCATGTCCATTTGGGGCTCACCCATTGTGGTATCACATTCACCTGATCAGGCACTGGTTTCACTCAGCATCCTTGTGCATGAGGAGAAGGCGTCAATACTCCATAGAAAAATGGAGTGACTCACCTAATTCCCAAACAGATGCTGACGATGCTACCTTGGGGTCCTTTTGAGTTGTCTGCCTTAATGTTCTAATTTCTTCCATGCTTTAAAACCTTCAGGAAAGTGGCATCAAGGTGTAAGCTGTGAATCCTTCAATGATCATTGTCATCATCCTCTAAATCATGGGTTTCACTACTTTTATGGTATGCCTTTCACACTTCTAAACAACTGTCAAGAAAACAAACCTCCAGGGCTGGATGTAGCCCTTCAAGCTAAGCTTTGGCTTTATAGTCAGGTAATTACTCTCGCCGTGCTCACTCTCGCTGCTGGAAAACTGACTGGTTTGATTTCCATCCGCTGGAAGATAATTGCGTGTTTTACTTTGGCGGGCAGCCTTTTCTTTATTTCTTGGTACTCCAGTTACGGCTTTGTGCAGTATTGGAACTGTATCCTGATGAGGAACCGTGACATCACTGAGCAGCCAATGAGGTTAGAGAGGACTGCTTCCCTCATGCTGAAGGAGGCAGTGTCATTTATCAAAAGGTAAATGATTGTCTGTCATTTTCTTTAAAGGGGCCAGGATGTTCTGGGCACTTGGAATAGACTATTTTTCTCCAGTGACTTTAGCTGTGTCATGATCACTGCTTTGAAACTCATATCCAAGTTCTCTATTTAGAAACCCAATGTACTTAAATTTTAACTGCAGCTGTCTCACATTGGAAGCTACAGTAAACGATATGGATTTTAACCAATTGATACATGACCATCTTGCTATGCCCTGTAATCTGTAATTACTACATTTGCTCCAAGATTAACAAGCTAATTTTTACACTTCACTGTACAATCCTCATTTATGCTCTTCATAAACCCTACAAAACACCTAGACAAAATGTGTGATGCATAAAATTATTTCATGTAAAAATCTCAAAGCACTTAAATTTAACTTTTATGGATTGAGAAGGAAGCCAAGTAAGATCGTTCATTTTCTAGATTCAAATTCTGTCTGCACAGCTTTCTATAATATTTCTGTGCATCAAGTGTCTTTCTATAAGACAGAGAAAGTAACTATTTCTTTTCTTAAAGATTGTGAAAACAAATATACTGAAAATTGTAAGTGGCCATCTTAGAAAAGCCACATGAATATTAAAGTAAATATGAGACTGTATCCAGTTACATTTAATTAAAAAGGTATCAGAGTTGGGCATCTGATTCATTTAAGCACTGTGCAAATGCTATGCCTGTTTACACATTGAAATTTGAAAATAATCCGGCTGAAAAGGATCTGTCTTGCCCACATTTCATGCAAAAAGAAAACTGTCATCTGTGATTAATGGGGATGGGGTAGATGTGGGTACAGTCCCAATGTGTGTGTCTGTGCATGTATAAATATGAAACCTTTCAAAATATTCCAAACACACAACAAAAATTATTTTTATTTTTGGTTTGTTTTTCAGAAACAGGCATGGACCATTTCTCCTCTTTGTTTCCTTTTTACATGTTCATACCCCCCTCTTTACTACGGCAAAGTTTCTTGGCAAGAGCCATCATGGTTTATACGGAGACAACGTAGAAGAAATGGACTGGATGGTGGGTAAGTATTCTTCATGAAGGGTTTGTTTCAGGCACATACACCTGTGTATTTTAAAGAAGGAAAACTAATAAGGCCAAAGTACCTACAGAAATCTAAGCTATTAAAAACTTCTTATAGGGCATTGTAAAAGATTATTATTGAAACATAAATGTGGCTTTATCTTTCTAATTGGTTAATAGGAACCGTGCTCTCTGCTTAAATTTAAGGCAAAATTCTGGATTCTCTTGACAAAGAAGGTTTGAAAAATCATACATTCACATACTTTGCCTCTGATCATGGAGGACACTTGGAGGCTCAGGATGGATCTGCCCAGCTGGGTGGCTGGAATGGTATTTATAAAGGTAGGAAAAACACTATGACTTTACATGAACATTAGAATCAGAAACATAATGAATTTGCCTGGTTGAAGTTATCAAGGCTGGAATGAGTTGCATTTTTAGCTTGACGTATAGGTGACATACAGAGGTGTTTTAATCTTAAAGTCACCTTTTTCTTTCAGTAAAGTGCAAGCATTGTTACAAATCTCCTTGACAAGGGTGTTGTCTTGATAACTGTAAATTATTTGGTGTTCTCAAATAAAAAGTGCTGGAAAAAATGCAGTAATGCCCTATATTGAATTCTCTCTCTCTCTCTCTCTCTGAGGCTTTTTTCCTCCCTCCACAATAGGACTATTTCCTGATTTGCTTGTTTCTTTTTCTCATTATGTTCTGGAAATCATTGCTGCCCAGCTAATCAATACAGAATAGAGTAAGGGCACATCGTGTCATGATTTCTGGCAACACTTTATTCCCCATATGTTTTTATATTCCACCCAAATCAGTGATTGGCATAAAATCCAAATGGCCTGGGTGGTCTAAGAGGATCTCACTCTTACCGCCTGCTGATCCCTTTCTGCTGTGAATCATTCTTCAACCTGCTAAGCAGCGCAGTGGCTTTTTTTTCAAGTCAAAAGAATATGCGTTCATTGCATTTTCTCCTGCCTACCCCAACAGCCCTGTGTCATCAGACTATCTCATCCTGTGACCTGTCATGAAGATATGACAATATGTGTCAGCGCTTAGGCTCTGTTATCACCAATGAACTATTCACCTCTTCCCAAAACTTTTGATGTTTTTATTTTCTTAAAACAGGCTTCTTCCATTTCAAAACCTTCTTGAGCTCTTCCACAGGGCACAGCAGAGGTCAAAGACATGGAAATTTGGCTGCCGTGAGGTGGATGCTCTGCTGCTGAGTAATGGAAGTTGCTGGCCCTTAAGAAAGGGAAGGGCTTTCAGTTATTCTGTTCATCCTCCATCTCACTCCCTGCTTTTTCTTGAGAAACTGCTCTTCTTTGTGGATGATAAGACTGTGGATTCATAAGCCTGATGGAAAAATATGTCTTTGTTAGATCCCATATTGAATACATGAATTAAAACAGGTTTCTGCTTTGGGAGTTAGGTAAATATTGTCTTTATACACCCAGCATCAGGATGCTTTATTAGGTTAGTTTCCATTAGTAGCAAGCTGAGAAAAGATGTTTTCCTGCTGTTTGAAGTAAAGCATATATGGTATGATTTCATAGGTTCAGATTTTTTTGCTTCTGAGTGAAAAGATGTTGCATTAAGCATTGGTAGAGTCAGGTCCAAACCTTAATTTCAAAAAAGGAAGAGACGTGTAAGGCATATGGAAAAATAAGTGTTAAGGATACATATTTTGAAGGGAATCTAGGGCTATAAAGGAATATATTTTTTTTTAGCTGTTTATTAAAATAGGATACCAATTAGTAAAGCTTGTGTATGTTTAAAGAGAATATCAAGTATTTCTTCGGTCTTGAGTTCTTCCAATTTCCAGTTCCTCCTCTCTTCTTTTGCTGGGAATCTCTTTAATAACACAGGTGAATGCAAGCAATCTATGGAATGGAGGATAACAGAAGGTTGAAGCTGTTTTACTGTGGCTGAACATAGGTTTTCAAAAGTAGATTTATTATTCCTACCCTCACCTGTGCTCAAAGTTAAAATAGAGATTGCCTCCCCCTATCTTTCTAAGTTTGGATGAGTTTTATATGCTACATTTTGAGGCCTTCTCAAGTATGTGAAGTCCAATGCAAATGAAGAGTCAAATCTGTTGGATAAGCAGTGTATTACTGCATCTTTTTCTGTACATTCAAATGCAACAAGCCAATGAAGAGGTTTGTGTTTGCCTCTCAACTGCCATATGTTGATTCATTTCACCACAGGTGGAAAAGGCATGGGAGGCTGGGAAGGAGGGATCCGTGTGCCAGGAGTATTTAGGTGGCCAGGGGTGTTACCTGCAGGCACAGTTATCGATGAACCTACAAGCCTTATGGATATTTATCCCACAGTTGTTCATCTGGCTGGAGGAATATTGCCACAGGACAGGTATGGAGATGTTTTCAACAGGAGAGGTTGATAGGAAAGCTAAGTACTAAACATTGACTGTGTTTCTTATCATCCTTGGAGATCTCAAATATTTTTTTAGCCTCAAGCCTGGTCTGAGATTTTGAATTAGTGAGCAAACTCTCCCAGATACACCCACAGGTGTGCCCATGGCCAGAGAAATTGTTCTTGCCAAAGACCAGGTGCTAGTTTCAACCCCAGGTTCAACCTCCTTCAGGAAAGAACTGGTGGCTGAGGTTGTTTTGGTACTAACTGACTTGACTATGCACACTTACAAATACCTCCTAAAGTCATTAAATCCATCCTTACTCAACAGATTTCTTTAAGTTCCTTTGCAAATTGCTAAATGTAAACAATTATGAGATTGGTATTGATTTCCTGAATAAATTACTTTGTTCTGTTAGATCAACTTCTAAATATTGTTTACGTATTGCTAAGTGGAATGAGTTGACCCAGCTATTAAAAAATAAAAATAGCGATTTAAATATTGGCTCAGCAGTCTGCTGGCTGCTGTAAACCTATGACCAAATTATTCTATACC